TGACCATCCCTCCTGGGGGGGTGATTTCTCACTTTCTGTCTCTCTGTCTCTCTCTGTCTGTCTGGCAAGCACACGTGCCCTATAGTGAAAAACCTCTCCAAAAAAAAAGTAAAAATATTTAAAAATATTTTCTATTTATTTTCAATTTAATCCTTTATAGATAAAGGTGAAAATACTTCCATGATATTTTTAAAATATGAATTTTATGGGAGTAAAAATATAATTACACTTTTGAAAAAGGTAGTCATCTGAACCTTAGGACTAAAAATGGGTGAAGTGTTTGAAAGAAAGTTCAAAGCACTGATTTGATTTCCTTTGTATAGGATGAATGTGAGAATTAAGATAATTTAGCAGCAGCTGCCTAATCAAGATAGAAATAAAGCAGTAAAAGGAACATGCAATCATTGTTGTGAGGGACAAATAGAATATAAATGGAAACTCAAGATGAAGCAAGAGATGCATGTCCAATATTGTGACTAAATAAATAAACATACACATAAAGAACCATGGTAAATCCAATAAAAAGAGGCAGGGTAGAAGTTTAGTTTTTTGACTTGCATATAATAACTATATATATTTAGGGTAAAATATGACTTTTCAGTACTAGGATACAACATGCAATGATTAAATCAGGGTAACTGGCTGATCCATGACCTCAAGAGATAAACAGTAAGTGTTAAAAACAGTTACTGTACTATATTTTGTAACACTAGAATTTATTTCTTCTATCTGTAATTTTGTTTCCATTAACCAACATCTCTTTGTTCCCCTCTCCTCTTTCCTAGTCTCTAGTGGTTTTTGTCCTGCTCAAATTCTGTGAGGTCATCCTTTTTAGTTTCTACATGTGAGTGAGAACATGTGATATTTCTTTTTCTATGTATGGTTAGTTTCTCTGAACATAATGTCCTCGGGCTTGCCCATATTGCCTCAAATGACAGGATTTTATTTCACACACACACACTCACACACACACACACACACACAGAGTCATTTACTGCTTCTTGAATTCAACACAAGATTTCTCATAACATTTTTCTGTTTACACACACACACACACACACACAGTCATTTAATGCTTCTTGAATTCAACACGAGATTTCTCATAGCATTTTTCTGTTATAGTATGTGACAAAGTGGGTTAAATCCTATGTCACCATCAATAAAAGTAAGTTATAACTTACTCTTGTTTTTTGCTGGGCTCGACTGTTGGTGGCAGACAGCACCACTTTTTCTAGGAGACTGGAAGCCATATGGAAGACTTGGATTCAGTTCCTGGGGCAGCCAGAATCCTCTGGTGCAGCTGTACACACATCTGCAATCTTAGATGACTGGGAGGATGAGGCAGGAAGACATAGTGTGAACCTGTCACAAATACCTATTTCTGTCCCTTTCCTTCTCTCTATATAGCATAAAGAAAAGAAAGTGTACTTTTCTGAATTAGAAGAAGGATACTTGTGAATTGTGTATTTTATAATAATCACTGGCAAAGAAAACTGGAATGTTTTATTTTTAGCTAGCAATAAAAGCACACATCATTATGTTATAGAGCATAAATAGAGAACAATGTTTTTTAAAGAGTGTCAAGGGAACATTACACCTGAACATGGAGGTAGAAAGTATTAAGTAGGAATGCTGAAATCAAACCTAATATAATAATTAGAGCTGTGAGAATAAGTAGTCCAAAATTTTTTGTTTTATTATAATGAGTCTCACATTTGATTGTCAAAAGCCAATACGATTCAACAATATGCCGGTTGTAAGCTGATGAGCTATGGCTTACAGAGTGTCGAGCACCAGACATAAGGCCTGGAAAGGAGCCAGCGACTGCAGGCTCCTGCTTGCTGTTGTCGAGGGCAACAGTGAATGTATACATTGTACTCCTCTTCTAAGCTTAGTGTCCATGTCTTCCCTATTTTGGTAAATGACAGTTAAAAGTGAAAAGAAATATGTAACAATGGTGAAACTAATTGGAGGAAACCCATGAATGAATTCAGAAAAACAATGTTATCTAACTGTTCTATATTCATGAACCAATTAGGATTTTCATATCAATTGTACTGTCAGACCAACTGCATAATTTTTCAAAGCCCGTGCTATGAACTCAACTGATTATCACAAAATTAAGCTGCATGCTTTCAAATTAATACACATCACCGACAATAAAGATCCTGAAGTCTGAGTGAAGTTTGTAATTATATTGATGCTCAGGGAAGATTTGAACACAAACTAGCTGTACGATGCAATACTGAGTCTTCTGTGGGTAAAAACTCCAGATGAAGATCTTATAATCTTATACTCACACTGCTCTATACAATTATGAGGAGTTGGGTGGATAGAGATAGGACTTTCTTTCTTCTTCCTTTTTTTTAAAGAGTTTTTTTTTTTTCTTTTTCTTTTTTGACATAAGGCACACACACTTGCTAAAGAGAAAGAGACAGACAGTGAGAGGGAAAAATAAATCACCTCCAGGGGGGATGGCCATGCCACAATCCCTTCTCATTCATTCCACTTCTGGGATCTTGGGCACACACACACATGCCTTGCATGATTTTCAAGCCACCAGGTCCAGGACTCGAAACGCGGTCCGACGTGTGGGAGTCCAGCAACATAACCGTCTGCTGGCCCTCAGAGGCTATGGCTTTCTATGAAAGTGAAATTCAAGGCTAGAGAAATGATCTTAGTAGATTTGAGTTTATCTAAAGGCTATTGCTCTATGTCAGAATTCTTGCTCTTCACTTTGCCACTCATGTCAGTTTGCAGGAAGAGGAGGAAAAGGTGGAAGATGTGAACAGTTCACCTTCCTTTAGTTAACTCATGAACGTATGCTGTATTTTTCTCCTGTAGCTCTGGCCCTCTCCATGATGGCTATCAGCTGTAAAACCCACAGATATGTATCTGTCCTGACAGCTGATCTCACCTTGACAATGCCAGGATCATCAGAGTGAGAACCTGGATTCTGACACCCACAAAGTTGGGACCCAAAGTGGTGGTGCTGTAAACCCTAAGGTATTGTTCAATAGTTAGTAGAAATGCAGAGAATGTTGACTTCCTGTCTCAGACTTACATTTTCTTACTGATGGACAAGAACTAAAGTCACAAATGTAGCTGGGTGTTGTATGCTCATAACCCTGCTCACCCCCAGACTGGGCTTCTAGTTGGGGAATAACTAGGACATCATAGTCTATTTGCCCGGTGAATATCCATGTGAGCCCATAAACTGTCTGCCTGTGCAGTGCCTCCAACAGGTCAGACACCGGCCAACTCTGCTTCTCAGCAAAGGGCACACAGTGGGCTCAGGTTGGAGCATCTGCAGCACAGTAAGGAACACGAGCGAGTCCCTTTGCCCTCCCATCCACCCCCCAGGGGGTGTGCACTCAGCAGAGAGACTGAGAAACAGTAAGAGGGAGAAGCACCTCCTAATGGTACATAGTCATGCCCCAATTCCTTCTCATTTCTCCATCTTGTCAGGATTTGGGGCACATATGCACATACCCCATGATGATTTTCAAGCCATAGGAGCTGGGATTTAAACTGCAGGATCAACCAGTAAGCCATGGGAATGGCCCCACAAGTGAATGCTAAACTCTAATTCAAGCTGGTATTTTGTAAATATTGCATTGTATATGTATGTGTGTATATATATACATATATACATATATATATGTGTGTGTGTGTGTGTGTATGTGTGTGTATATCAAGTTGATATCACAAAACCTTCTGAACTCACTTTCCAAAGTTTACTTCTTTTACAAACTACTGCACTCAAATAAAGATGTCAATTAAAATTAAGAGTAGTGCTTCAACTTCCTTGCTGTTGTCTCCTTTTCATAGAATATTTTCCATTTCCTTAAGCCCAAAATTTCTATAATGATACTTTTCTTGATAAGGATTGACTAAAACAAATATTCTTCAGAGGATTGGCATTTGAGATAAGAATTCCTATTTTTCTTAAAATTAATTCTGTTCATTGTTTCCTGTCTTTCAAGAGCAGGTCAATGAAAACTTTTTTATTTCTAAAGACTCTAGTGATATGCTGACCATAGCCAAGCAATTACCGCAGTGACCAAACTGTAGGCCATTAGCTGGGATGAAGTGATAGGTTTGCTAACTTCTGAAGTAAGCATCCATGTGTGTAAGAACAGTGAGGTTCCCAAAGTTCCATCTTGACTATGTATCTCTTAAGTAGGAAATACATACAGGGCATAAGTCATTTACTCAGTTTTTTAATGAAGTACAGATGCAGATGCACATTTCTGTTGATTATAAAAATCCATGTTTCTAGAATCAATGGGAGTTTATAGCAAGAAAACACCTAACATTTTTAAGAATCATGGAAATTTGGGGAGTTAAAGGAAATGGAAAATAGCATATTGTATATAATAGTTTAGACCTTTTTCACAGTTTGCTGATTAGCTGGGGCAAGTGGAGTGGCAAGAGCTATTTCTTAGCCATTTGCCCTGGATGCTATGCAGAGTGGCAGCCAGTGAGAAAACAGGCCAGAGATTGCCTTGGGAACTCCACTGTCTCCTGACTGTTCTAGACCTCATAGTTTCTTGAAGCATGTGGTGTGAACCCTACTTTCTTTCCTAGTTGAAACCTTACAGCTCAGCCCCAGGTACACTTGTTTTCAAGGAAATGGAAAGCCTAAGAATATCTACTTTTAGCAAAAATAGTACAGGTTACTGAGTGCGCATCAGGAAGACAGAGTTGCAGAAGACTGTGACTCACCTCCTCCTGCATGCTTTTGAACTCTCATAATTAGCTCTAAAATATTAGAAAGAAAGGTGTAATCCATCAGATGACCAGAAACCAGCACAGAGGCACAAGAAAAATGAGAAACAAAGAAAATAGCTCTCCTGCAAGGGAAAAGAACAATTCCCCATCATCCACAGATGGTCCAATAGAATTTGTGGAAATGTCAGATAAACAATTCAGAATATTCATAATGAAAAGACTTAATGAGATGCAAGAGAAAAGAGACAATGAACTCCAGAAGATGCAAGAGAAAAGGGACAACAAATTCCAGGAGACGAGGAAGTCATTCTATAATTTGAAAGTGGAAATAGACAGCATAAAAAAGAATCAGGTGGAACTGTTAGAGATGAAGGTTGTAATACAGGAAATAAAAAGTTCCCGTGACAATATAAAAAACAAATTAGATCATGCATAAGATTGAATCTCAGATCTAGAAGACAAAACCTCTGACATAAAAAAAAAACACCAAAGAGAATTAAAAATATTAGGATAAAATATGAGAAATACTAGATATCATTAAATGCCCAAACATCTGAGTTGGTATTCCAGAAAGTGAATAAAGACATTGATAATCTAGTCCATGAAATACTGGAAGAAAACTTTCCAAGCCTAGAGAAGCATTCAAACAATGAGACCCAAGAACTACAAAGGATCCAAATAGAATAAACCCAAGAAGATCTCCATGGCACATCATAGCCAGATTGGCTAAAACCACAGATAAAGGCAAGATACTAAAAATGGCAGGAAAGAAATGTCAAGTTATACTGGGAATACTAAAGAGAGAAAGACAAAAATAAGAGAACAAAAAACAACAAAGAAAATGGCTAACTTAATGGGAGGGATAAGTCTGGAAATATCAATAATAATGTTGAATGCTAATAGATTTAATTATTCAATCAAGATACACAGACTGGCTGAATGGATGAAAAAATGGAAACTTTCTATCACCTACAAGAACAGAACCTCATGGATAAAGACATACATCTACTAAAAGTGAAAAGCGGAAAAAAGGGACACCATGCAAACAGAAATCAAAACAGGGCTGTAGTCACTGTACTGATTTCAGACAAAATAGACTTTAAGACAAAAAAGTGTAAGAAGGGCATTATCCTCGTAGTTAAAGGGCTATTCATTATAGGATGCTTATAAAAATCTATGCATCCAACACAGGAACACCCAAATACATGAAGGAAAGACTGCTAAATCTAAAAGGAGAGATAGACTGCATCACACTAACTATTGGGAATCTCAGCACCCCACTATCTCCTTTGGACAGATCATCTAGACAAAAAATAAGCAGAGAGCTACAAATCTGAATGATACCATAAATCAAATGGACTTAACACCCACAACCCATGGAATATACATTTTTGAGAGCTACAAATCTGAATGATACCATAAATCGATGGACTTAACGCCCACAACCCATGGAATATACATTTTCCTTACCTCCGCATAGAATCTTTTTGGAGATTGACCCCATCATTGGGCACAAAACAAGACTTTACATATTTGAAGGCACAGAAACTATATCCAGCATCTTCTGGGACCATGATGGAATTAAACTTGATGTTAATTTCAGGAAAAAAAAAACCTCAAAAATACACATATATATTGAAACTAAACAACCTAATCCTGAATGACTTCACAATTACTGGGGAAATTAAGACTGAAATAAAAAGATTTATTGAAATCAGTGATAATAAGTACACAAGTTTCCATAATCTATGGGACACAGAAAAAGCAGTCATAAGAGGGAAGTTCATAGCAGTTAGTGTGCATAAGAAAAAGATGGAAAGGTGTTAAATTCATGTTAGGACAACCTGAGATACTGCCTCAGGAAATTGGAAAAACAACTAAAAAAATCCAAAAATTGCCAGGAGAAAAGAAATAAAGATCAGAGCAAAAATAAATGAAAGAGAAAATATGAACTATGAAGAAAATAAATGAAACCAAAAGCTGGTTCTTTGAAAAGATAAACAAAATAGACACACCCTTTGCTAGACTAATTAAGAAGAGAGAAAGGGATCAGATAAATCAAATTCACAATGAAACAGCCAATATTACAACAGATACAATGGAAATACAAAACATCATTAGAGAATACCGAGTGACTATTCACCAACAAACAAGAAAACCTGGGTATGATGGATAAATTTCTGGACATGTATAATCTACCATATTGAATAAAAAAGACATACAAAGCCTGAATAGACCCATAACAAGCAAGGAGATAGACAGGACCAGCAACAATGGTTATGTTGCTGGACTCCCACATAGTCAACTGTGGTTCCAGTCCCAGATCCGGTGGCTTAAAACACACTGTGGGTGCGTGTGCATGTGTGCCCAGAATCCTGAGAGGAGAATGGAGGAGAAGGGATTGTGGCATGGCCATCATACCTAATGGGTGATTTCTCACTTTAAAACAACAGCAACAACAACAACAAAAGAAAAACAAGCAAGGAGACTGAATCAGCAACAAATAAACTCCCCAAAAAGAAAAGCCCAGGTCCTCCTGATGGCTTCACTTTTGAATTCTACAGAACTTTTAAAGAACAGTTAGCCCCCATGGTACTTAAATTATTTCTAAAGATCCAAAGGGAAGAAACCCTCCCAAATTAATTCTATGAAGCCTCCATCACTCTCATCCCCAAAACAGATACGGATATGACAAAAAAGGAAAACTACAGACCAATATCTCTAATGAATACAGATGCAAAAATTCTCAACAAGATACTAGCAAATCATATCCAACAACATATTGAAAAGATTATACATGACGACCAGGTAGGCTTTATTCCAGGGATGCATGGGTGCTTAAACATATGCAAAACCATAAGTGTGATACATCATATTAACAGAAAGAAAGGTAAAAAACCATATGATCAATCAATGCAGAAAAAGGCATTTGATAAAGTACAACCGACCTTCGTGATTAAGATTTTCAGCAAAGTTGGCATAGCAGGGTCATTTCTCAACACAATAAAAGTAATCTATGAAAAACCCATAGCTGGGACGAGCAGTTAGCGTAATGACCATGTCGCTGGACTCCCACGTAGTCAACCGTGGTTCGTGTTCCAGACCTGGTGGCTTAAAACTCATGCCGGGCACGTGTGTGTGCGTGCCCAAGATCCCAAGAGGAGAATGGAGGAGAAAGAGATTGCGGTGTGGCCATCCCCCCTGGGGGGTGATTTCTCGCTTTCTGTCTCTCTGTCTCTCTCTGTCTGTCTGGTGAGCACACACACCCTACAGGAAAAACCTCTCCAAGAAAAAAGAAAAAAGGGAAAGAAGAATTGAAATTACCTCTTTTTTCTGATGATGTGATTATATACATAGAAGACCCAAAAGTATCCATGAAAAAACTCCTGGAAGTAATAAATGAATACAGTAAAATGACAGGATAAAAAATTAATATACAAAAATCTATAGTATTTCTAAATATGAACAAGAAGACTGAGGCAGAAGTGAAGAAAGTAATCCCATTTACCATAACCACATAAACTATAAGATACCTAGGAATAAATCTAACCAAAGATGTAAAAGACCTCTACAAGGAAAACTATGAAAATCTATGAAAATAGAAAATGACACAAAAAAGTGGAAGGGCATCCCATGTTTCTGGATTGGAACAGTTAATACAATCAGAATGGTAATTCTACCCAAATTAATCTGCATATTGAACAAAATACTAATCAAATTATCAGAAACATTCTTCATAGATCTAGCAAAGACAATTATAGAATTTGTCTGGAATAATAAAAAGCTTTGTATTGCCAAAGCAATCCAGTGCAAAAAGAATGGAGTGGAAGGGCTCTCACTCCCTGACCCCAAAATATACTACAAAGCAGTGATAATCAAAACAGCATGAAACTGGCACAAAAACAGACATATGGACCAATGGAATAGAATAGAGACCCCAGAAATAAACCCCCAAACAGACAGTCAACTGATTTTTGGCAAGGGGCATCAGTCAATACAGTGGGAAAAAGAAAACCTCTTTAGCAAACGGTGCTTGTAAAACTGGATATCCACCTGCAGAAAAGTGAATCTAGACCCCCATCTCTCATTAGTAAGAAAAATCAATTCAAAGAGGATCAAAGAACTCAACCTGGGAACCAGCAGTTAGTGTAATGGGTATGTTGCTGGACTCCCACGTGGTCGACAGCAGTTCGTGTCCCGGACCCGGTGACTTAGAACTCACGCTGGGCGCGTGTGCGTGCGTGCTCAAGATCCCGAGAGGAGAATGGAGGAGAAGGGATTGCGGCGTGACCATCCCCCCTGGGGGATGATTTCTCGCTTTCTGTCTCTATGTCTCTGTCTGGCGAGCGCATGCGCCCTATAGTGAAAACCTCTCCAAAAAAAAAAAAAAAGAGCTCAACCTAAGCCCTCAAACTATAAAAGTACTGGTGGAAACATTGGGGAGACAGTGGAATAGGCAAAGACTTCTTTTTACAATTTATTTTATTTTATTTATTTATTTTTTTGGAGAGGTTTTTGCGATAGGGCGCGTGTGCTCACCAGACAGAGAGAGAGAGAGACAGAGGGAGATTGTTACTGACTAATAACCTCAAGGCAAGAATTAGTTCTTTTTCTAAATTTTAATTTATTTTACAATCACTATACATCACTACAGCTTGTAAAGTGAATATATCCAACATGAATACACTTCACCCCAGTCCAGTTAAAGATACCAAACACACTATCATCAATAGGTAATCATCTATTTCTGTGTCCCATAAATACCTTGCCTTTCTATTTTCTCATTGATTCCTTTCCTCTCAATCTCCCTCTTCTCCCACCCTCTTCCCACACTTCTTTCAGTATCTATAACCATTTTCTATGCTTCATGTTACATTATGTGCTTCCACTTAATCTATACTGACTGTCCACACTTTATGACAGAAACTGAGTGATTAGAGGTTAACAATGATAAATATGGTTTAGGAAATAATTTTTTTTTTGAAAGAGATTTTTGCTATAGGACACATTCACTCAGCAGAGAGAGAGAGAGACAGAAAGTGAGAAATCAGCTCCCAGGGGGGATGGCCATACTGCAGTCCCTTCTCCTCTATTCTCCTCTCAGGATCTTGGGCACTTATGCACATGCACCCAGCATGAGGTTTAAGCCACTGGGTCCAGGACTTGAATTGCAGTTGACTACATGGGAGTCCAGTGACATAATCATTATGCCATCTGCTGGTCCTGGAGAAAAAATCATATTTACGTGTAGTTTTTAGTCTGTGGTTTTGGAGAGTCCACTTTCAGAGGAGCTCTATCAGATAAGCTGGAGGTCTTTGAGCCTCTTCAGCCTTGTGATTGCTCATTCTGGTACCAGCTTTTTGGGAACTGCTGCTTGCTCTTTGTCACTTGCTCTTTTCTCATGGTGTCACAGAGACGATTATGGGTCATAGATTGCAAATCAGTCTCAGATTAGGGCACTAAGGAGCAGTCTTCTAGATTCAAGAGCTTTTCCTCCCTCTAACTTGGTCTTTCCTTTTCCCAGGCTCAGGGGTCATCATTCTGCCCCCCCCACCCCCCCCCAAGTCAATCCTGCAGACATTACTGACTTTGTCACCCAGCTATGTTGTCGTCTTGAAAGTTGTGCTCTGGAATATTCTTAAAAAACAACTTACTTACTTTATAAAATTCCTATTTTCATTATTAGATGACAATACGACAGCTGACAAATGTTGATGAATTAATGGCTGGGGAGTATAATCAGATGTTACTATGCAGCCATACTAGAGTGTGCATTAATGAATCAAATGAAGAGTTTTGGGAAATGATAATTTAAAATGAAATAGGATCAGGAATTTAAACTCGTAAAATAGGAATGGGAATTATATTTGTCTTGAGACAGGTCTTAGTGGAGCCATTATCAGCCAAGCCAGGAGATGGGGCTTAGCTTAGAATGGCCTGAACTAGATGTCCAGAAATCCGTTGTGTGACCTCACAGTCCTCTTCTTAGTGGAGCCATTATCAGCCAAGCCAGGAGATGGGGCTTAGCTTAGAATGGCCTGAACTAGATGTCCGTTGTGTGACCTCCCAGTCCTCTGGGCATTCTATAGTACGTTGCATTTTAAGTTTTCAACTTAGTTTCTTTTTACTTCATACTTAATTTGTAAATACGTTTTCCTACCCAGCAATCATGCCCCTGTAATATATCGAAGTTCTGTCGTCCTGAATCACATCCCAGACTTGCCAGCAGTGTTTTCAGCCTCATGTGACTGAGTGAGGCAGTTGAGATCCCACCATGCAGGGGAGGGGCATCAGAGCCTCACCTACTATCCAGTTTGTCTTCTACCAATTGTAGCCACAAGATGGCAATGTGACAATTTAAATAAAATCAAAAGTCCCAAAGCATTGTTTTCTTTAGTTGAGAGGATTTAAAGACAGCAGAGTCCCCTTTAAGCAAACGTCTTACCTAACTGGGAACTACACGCCCCCTTGTATTAATGTCTGTGCTGGATCAGGAGATGAGTGACCTCCCGTCGCAGTGATTCAGGCTGGGACAAGCCAGGGTTCTGTAACCGCTCGTCTTGCCTCCTCCTTTTCTCCTGCATGTACTCCGGTGTAATGGCTGACACAGTTCGTGGATTTGGTCTCTACACAGCAACGAGAAGGTCTCATGTGGCATTGAGTGGCACTTGAGGACTAAGGCAGACACTTTTATGTTATTTTGTTTTCTGAGAGATGCAGACAGAGTAAATTCCCACCAAGGAGTTAACTTTTACGGACAGTAGATCCTATTTTTCAGCTAAGTCATGTAACAATTCCTCTGAAGTCTATTTTTTCTTTTTCAGTGAGCAAATGTGTGATTAGTTTTACTTTATGAAAAATTTATTATTTAGGTACTGGTATTTGTGTTCTAGAATATAGAAGGATTCATTATATAGAAATATTTCGCCTACTTTAGGAACATTGAGCTTGAAATATGCAAGTATATGGTTACTTTTAAATAATTCTAGGGCATATTTTCTTCCTCATGACCCAGAATTAAAAAAAAAATAAATGAAAGTTACTACTTAAAAGAAAGTTTGTGAAGATTGGGACCAGCAGACGGCATAATGGTTACATCAGTGGACTCCCACATAATCGCCCGCAATTTGAGTCCCAGACCTGGCGGCTTAAAATTCAGGCCGGGCACGTGTGCATGCATGCCCAAGATCCTGAGAAAAGAATAGAGGAGAAGGGATTGCGGCACGGCCATCCCCCTCTTGGGGATGATTTCTCACTTTCTGTGTCTTGATCTCTCTCTGTCTCCCCAGTGAGCACATGTGTCCTACAGTAAAAATCCCTCTCTAAAAAAAAAGTTTGTGAAGATTAAGGCAATAATTCATGTAAAACCCTTTGTATAGTTCTGCACACAGAAATCAAATAACAAATATTAATTATAATATTTTTGTTATTGTTTGTAGTTGGTGTTACATTGTCCATGGGAACTAGTTATCTTTGTGCTGTCAAAAAGTCACAGATAAAATTTCATATCTGTTTGGGAATGCGGACAATAATCTGAGATATCTTCAAAAAGTTTTTAGAAAATGTGTATTATGGGGGCCTGCAGTTGGCGTGGTGGTTAAGGGCACCGGACTCCCACATGGCTGACCATGGTTTGAGTCCCGGACCTGGTAGGTTACTTTC